CTGCGAGCTTTCGGATCATAACAGTGGTAAGGACCAGCCTCTAAGCACTGTGTACATCTACCCAGGTGCACGCGGAGCTCTGGTAGTGCAGTGGTTACGAGTTGGGCTGCTAATCTCATGGTCAGTAATTCGAAACTGTCAGCCATTCCTTGGGAGAGAGATGAGGCTTTCTGTTGTCAGAAAGATTTACAGCCTTGGAAACCCTAAGCAGGGTCCGCTATGAGTCGGAACCAACTCCGTGGCACACCACCACCACCCAGATGTGCTCCATGCTGTGTACAATGGTTGATGAGGTCCCTCAGTTTGTATGGGGAGGAGCCAGGATTCGAACTGCTAGTACAGAGAATTAGAGTTGGGGAAGAATGAGACCACCAGGCATAAAGGGCTCACACACCCTCAGGCCTCCTGCTTCCTGCCAGTCCCCAGGTGTCCTGCCTCTAGCCCAGTCCTCTGTCCTGCTGGCCACCACGGGTCTCTGTCCTATGCTCTGTCCATTCTCCTGGGTCTCCTCCCTCCCCCTAGTGATCCCATCTCGTGTCTGCTGCAGGCTGCTCTGAAAACTGCCTGGCAAACATGTAGGGACACTCATTTGGGGCAAATCCAAACTGTGAGCTTCAAGTATGTGACCTCAAGTAATCTGCCCAGTAGGTGGCACTGTCATTGTCCCGGTGTGGTAGGTGAGGTGGCCTGAAAGCAGAGTAGCCCTCTCTCCTCTGTCCTTTTCTGTTGTCTGACCTTCTGTGTCCCCCACCCCACCTGGCTTCTGTTCCCAGTCTGTAGTGTTTACACAGCCTTCTCTGGGTCTGGGGGTCCCAGCTCCTCACTCCACATTCTCAGTTGCCTTTCCCAAAGACACCCTCAGTCCACTGTGGCCAAGGTCAGCTTCTTCCCTTGTCACCCCCAACCTTGACAGCTGATGGCATTTTCTTTCCTCTTCCCCTTCCCCAGTCTTCCCATGTCAGGGGTGGGGTGGGGTCACAGCTTGGATTAAAGTCTGCTTCCCAGCCTCTCCCTCCCCTCTACCTCTTCCTCCGCTCCTCCACCCAGCTGCAGGTATACCCCCCTGGCATCTACACCAGGGTACCTAACACTTCAGTGTACACTTCTCAGCTGGGCAGCTTGTTAAAATGCATATTCGGACTCAGCAGGGCTAGGGAGTCCTGGTGTGGCGCTGTAGGATAAGCACTTGACTGGAAGGTGGGATTGGGCTGCAAGATCAGTGGTTCAAACTCACCAGCCGCTCCATGGAACCCCTATGAGTCAGAACTAACTCAATGGCACTTAACAACAGGGCTGACCTGAGGCCCTGGGCTTCCAGCACATTCTAAGGTCTGTGAATTGCATTTTGAGCACTTGCATTTTATTCAAAACATTCCCCTGCTCCCCATGCCTCTGATTAAACCTCAGGCTCCATGCTTTCAAAACTGTTCAGAATCTGCCCCCTACTCCTCTAATTAGATCCCACCTGCTTCCAAGCATGGACCCATGTCCCCACCCTTTCATTCTGTGTGTGCTGCTCCATCTACCTGGACCACTTTTCCTGCCTGTTCAGCTTATTGAAATCCCCTCCTCCTCCTTCAAGACCCAGCAGGGGCTTTGGAGCCAACATACTTGGTTCAAACCCTGCCTCTGCCACACCCCGCCTCAAGGGCCTGACACCTCGAAGGTATTTGCTTAGGGGTAGCATAGTGGTTATGAATTGGGCTGTTATGAATTGGGCTGTGAACCGTAAGGTCAGCAGCTTGAAACTACCAGATGTTCCGTGGGAGAAAGATGAGACTATCTGTTCCTGTAAAGATTTATAGCCTCAGAAACCCTATACAGGGTCGCTATGAGTCAGAACCGACTCCAAGGCACATAGCAACAACAACAACACACATCTTGAAGCCCAGCCATTTACAGAAATACTAGTGGTACTCAAACTACAGGAGTAGGAGGATGAAATGAGAATGATCCACACAAAGCAGATGATTTTGCAAGATAAACACTCCGGATACTGCAGCCATTAACAGATACATCCAAACCCAACCCAAGATACTCCCATTGAACTGTGTTTGACTCATATCAACCCTATGTTAAGTGCTGTCAAGTCGGTTGACAGCACTTACAGTGACCCTGTATAGGGATTCTGAGGAGCAGCTGGTGAGTTTGAACTGCTGACCTTGTGGTTCAAACCTATCTTGTGGTCCAGTGCTAATGCTACAGTGCCACACCAGGACAAGAGTGTTGTTGTTGTTGTTGTCAAGTGCCATCGAGTTGGTTCCGACTCATAGCGACCCTGTGTAGGGTTTCCGAGGGGCGGTTGGTGAATGTGAACCACTGGCCTTATGGTTCGAGTCGACCTTGCAGTCCAGCACATTAACCCACAGTGCCACACCAGGACTCCAGAACAAGAATTGTTATTGTTTGTTGTTAAGTGCCGTCAAGTCGGTTCCGACCCATAGTGACCCTGTATAGGGTTTCTGAGGAGCAGCTGGTGAGCTTGAACCTCTGACCTTGCAGTTCAAATGACTTTGCAGTCTGGTGCATTAACCCACAGCACCACACCAGGACAAAAGTAGAACTGACCAATAGGGTGTCCAAGGCTGTAATCGTTACGGAAGCAAGATTATCAGATCGCTCTTTCTGGAAGATTTGAATAGCCAATTTTTTGTTAAGTTAAAGCCTGATTGCTGCACCACCAGGGTTTAATAATAATAATAGTAATAATAATAATGTGTTTGGTCCCTCTTCTCTGACTCCCGGAGCCCTCTGTTGGTGGCTCATCTCCCAGTGTACACTACTCAGAGCTAGGATCTGCTGCCTCTGGAGCAGGGCACCGTGCCCAGCACATAGTAGGTCTCTGAGAGGCGGTCAGTGTCTTGGCAAGCTGTCCTGGTCAGACTGCCCTACAGGCCTTTCCGACGTGGTCACAGTGGCAGCTGGCTTCAGGTTTCTGGGTCCCTCTCTTGGTGTCCAGCTTGTCCAGTCTCTGTAGCTGCAGACAGTGATGCCTCCGGCTCTCCATCTGTGCCCTGCTGGCCCACCTGCTCTGTGCTGGGTGGGTGGGAGGACAGCTGCCCTGCCAGCCTGGCCCTTGGGGACAGCTGAGGCTGCCCCAGCTAATAGCAGCAGGGTCTTGCAGAACAGATCTTGGGGAAACTGAGGCTGAAATGGGTGGCAACTTGCCCAGAGCACATAGCAGGTCAGGGAGTCCCGATTCTTGTCTGGAAACTCACTTCTAGTCTCTCCTGCCCTTGGCAATAAGTGGGTGCCCACTGATGGTGAAGCAGCCAGCCTGAGGTAGGTGAGTGCACATGGTGCTTACCTGCGCTGGGCACCTGGACAATGGGCTGTTCCCTTGGAGAACACAGCTCTGCTCTCTGGACGCACCAGCCTCAGGGCACTCCCTGCACCCAGAAGCCTTTGCTGCCTTCCTCCTCCCTGCTGCCTACGTTAGGGCAGATGGACAACTTCACCTTCAGGACTCCCTGGCCTCCTAAACGAAAGAACCCAAATTCATTGCCTTCGAGCCTGTTCCAACTCATAGCAACTCCACGTGTTACAGAGTAACACTGCTCCCTGGGATCTTCTTGACTGATTGTTAATGGAAAGATGGGTGGTTCAAACCCACCCAACTGCTCTGTGGGCGAAAGGCCTGGTGATCTTCCTCTACAAGAAAAACCCTATGCGACAGTTCTACCCTGTTGCTTGGGTTGCTATAAGTCGGAACAAACTGCTAGCAACAACAGCAACAGCCATCTTTGTGGAAGCCAGGCCTTTCTTCCACACCACCTCTGGGTGGGTTTGAACCACACCCCTTTGGCTAGTAGAGCGTTTAATGGTTTGTGACACTAATGCCTCCATTCATGCCCCCTCCGTGTAACTTCAGGAGACCCTCTATTAGAAGGTAGATTCCTGAGAGCCATAAAGGAACTAAAGTTCCCAGAGCATCTGCTTTGCCCAGGCCCCGTGCAGGAGGGTTAGGGAGGTTGGATTTATGAGTGGCTAGGACAGTCACTACGGAGCCAGGCTGCCTGGACTCCATCCCAACTCCACCACTTCCCAGCTGTGTGACCTTGGACTAATTTTCTCCTGGTCCTCTCCCTTCATTATCGTCTTTGCATCGAATATTTATCAAGGGCTTACCAAGTGCCAGGCACTGATTTGACCAGCATGCTTTACTCCTGGCCACTGCCCAGGGCATTATAGAGGTGTTGGGAGGGAGCACAGAGGTTGGAATGTAGTAAATGGCCAGCAAATGTAGTCATTATAATTATTAGTTATTATTGTGGCTGACATCAGGCACTAGCATTATGTTGTGAAATCCACACAGCACCTTGTGACTTGGGAATTATTTATCCATGCTGGAGGGGTGAGGGAAGACCACAGGGTAATTGAGTCTGTCTGAAGCTTCCAGAAAGGCATGAGAACCTTAATGGGAGGCAGTGGGTGATAGGGACGGTTGGCCAGAGGAGGATGAGGGTGTTGGCCCATTTCCAAAAATTTCCTCTGAGCTTTTGAAGCCACAGGAATGATTGCTCACCTGTGCCTCGGTTTCTTCTTTGGCCTAGCAGACAGATTAAGGGAGACTATTTCTACAAGCCCCTGGGATCTCAGAGTGTTGAAGGTATGTGTTCTTTGGGGGGCCTTGAGAAGGACGCTTTGCTGGTCAGACTACCTACGTCTCAGAGTGTGGGCGCTAGTCCAGTCCACCGCTGTGCGTGGCCGAGCTGGCCTCATGCCAGGCTGCTTAACCCTTACCCAGCATGCCTTCCGCTCTGCCAGTCAGCACCCGCTCCTGTCCAGCCAAGAAGCTGGACTCTCCTTCAGGAAGGGACAGTTGTCAGCTGGGCCTGGGGGTGGAGGCAGCATCAGATGGTCTGTTGCTGTGGCAACCCTGGCCTCTGAGGGGACTTCAGGGGGAGAGCAGCCCCAGGGAAGTGGCAGCAGTACCCCTGGCCCACGCTTAGGAAGTCTGGTACCTGTCTGCCAGGATGGGGTGAGGCTGAGGTTCCCTCATGTTGGGCGCTGAGTCATGGGCATCCCCCAGGGTCACTGCCTCCAAGCTCTCACCCCTGCCCCCCTCAGAGAAATCGTGAGTCATGTAGCATCAGTCATGCCCAGCTCCTGGGGAAGGGAGGAGCTAAGCTGGGCAGCAGGGGGCGTCCCCCCAGCACACTGGCTCCTCCCCCAGCTCCTCACAGGCGGATTGCCCTGCCCTGCTGCAGGAGAGGGGCTGGAACCTCCATGGCTCACCACCTCCCATGGCCGTGGAACCGGTTCGCACTGGGTAAGCCTGAAAGGTGGTCCAGCCACCTGACCCCACGCAGGATACTCTACCTGGCACCAGGCACCAGGGGCTCAACAGCAGGAAGGAGGAGGGATTGAGTGTGTGTGGCTGGTGAGCAGAAGGCAAGAGTGGTGAAATAGAGAATTGGGAGGGGATTAGGAGGTACATTGGTGAGATCAAGCCCAGGTGGGTGTTGCTGTGTATGGGGGTGGTCTCTAGAATTGGAGGTACATGTACTAGGAAATGTCTGGGAAGGGCATGGAGTCTAAGAGGACTGGGACATCTCAGAATCATTGACCATTTGTTAGCTGGGGAAACTGAGGTTCAAAATGGCAGATCTGCTCTCTGGGGTCCACTCTTGCGCCCACTGGACAGATGGGAGGACTGAGGCACTGAGAAGGCAAGTGGCTGCCTCAAGATCACACAGCAAGTCTATGGGTGAAGAATCGTCTAGAGAGACAGAGATTGACGTGGGAGCGAGGATGTGCCGTAAGGTGGCATCTTTGTGGCTTCCCTGGGAGCTGAGTTCACATTCCCAACTGAACCAGGGATGGCTCGTTGCTTCGTTAGCTGTGGGAGGATATGGTCAGGCAGTGGGGTCTGGCCTGGGAACTGGGGACAGATAGGTGAGGAAGGAGAGGCTGGGGGCCCAGCAAATCCCTTGCCGGTTAACAACCAGACCTCAGGACGCCGTCTGCTTATGACTGATAGGACCTGCCCACCCTGATGTCACAATAGTGCCCACCTTATTTCAACATTTCCCCTCCCAATTAGCTTCCTTTATAGAGTGCTGCTGAGTGGGGGTCTCCCAGTGGGAGGGTACACACAGATGGAATTGAGGTGAGATGGGGTACGGAGCTGTCCCCCCAACCCTAGAGCAGTTCTAACCTGGGGTTCAGGGAGCTGGTAGGAGGCTTTGTGGTTCCTTCAGGAAGCCAAGGAAATTATTCATATAAACATTGATTGAGCCCCTACTGTATGCCCAGTACTGTCTCAGGGGTGGCTGAGACCTAGAGCCAAGCCCCCTATCTCTTCCCTGCAGGATGCTTTGAGAGCAGAAGTTTGTTCCTTGGGGTCAGGTCACAGTCAGAAGGGGCAGCTTTAGTCCATGAAAGTCCCCACCTGCTAGTTGGCTCCTCAGTGCCCAGGCTAGAAGTCTTGTGGGGTCTTCCCTGCCTATGGCCAGAGCGGTACAAGCTCTCGGGGCCAGACCCTGCCCCTTGTTCCAGGGACCTGAGCTGCAAAGCCCCACTGGCCATAGCACTCCTGTAGCCAGCCTGCCTTGCCTTTTTCTCGGGGCCTCAGTTGCTCCAGCTGTGAAATGGGTGTGTGTGTGTGTGTGTGTGTGTGTGTGTGTGTGTGTGTGGTGAGATTAGCTGCCCTGCCTCCCGTGGTCCTGGGGCTTGGCTGTGATGGGACTGGTGGCGGAGGACACCTCCCGAGGCAAGTTCGGGAGAGACTGTGCCAGGCAGCCTGCACTGTTGCCACTAGTTTCAATGCCCTGGGCTCATCCTGGTCAGCACATCTCATTGTGTCGGGACACACACCAGACAGGATGTGAGACTGATGAATGTGCTAAGAATGGAGATTTGGAAGGACCTGAGGAGCCCTCAGAAGGCTTTTCGGCTGGGCTGGGAGAACGGTGGTGATGGTGGTGGTGGGCTGGTGGAGGAGTAAGTGGGAGGGTAGGGTGGGTGCTAGGTGTTTGGTCTGTCTAGATCAGACTGGGGCTGCAAAGAAGGGGCTGGCAGTGGAAGAGGGGTTTGGAGTATGCATTCTGACCTTCACCTAGCACGGCTGGCCCTGGCTCAAAACAGGCTGAGGTCCCTGTACAGGAGGGTGAAGGAGGGAGGGCATTCCAGGCAGAGGAAAGTGTGCAGTTTGGGAAATGATGAGGAACAAGAGCAGTGGAGTGTGGGAGTGCACTGGAGCCCTGGCCCCGGTCACCTGCGGGCACTAGGTGCTGGCCAGCAGCACCAATTGCTCTGTAGGGGAAGGCGTGGTATGAGGACCAGCTCCCAGGCCAGGAGGGTGCTATGGGGGAACTGGTAGCCAGGCTGCAACCTCAGCCAGAAGTGGAGGGCAGATTTGTTATGTGGGTTGTCCTGGTGGTCTTGAGGCTTGTGTATGGGGGGCAGTTTTGTAGCAGGTGGGAGAGGCTGCAGAGCTGGTCTGTGAGTGTGTGTTGGGAGGGGGCGGTGGGGAGGCAATGACCTTCCTAACAGGGACCTGGCATGGCAAAGGCTAGATGTGGGAGAGGGCAGGGACAGCCTGATGGGACCCCCACCACTTGCACCCTAGCTGAGCCAGGCCCAGGTACCTCTATCCTCAGCAGGAACTGCGTATGGGTGGTGGGCGCTGTACCTGTTTTAGGGGTGCATGAACGGAGGCGATCTTGTTGTAGGTGTGAAGAGTTGGGGGCAGGGTCCTGTGAGGCCACAGAGGAGGCAGTGGTCCCGTCTAGGGGGTGAGAGAGAAGTAGATTCAGCCCCACACTTTGTGCTGCCCCTCCTCCATGACTCGTGCCCAAGCAGGGCCCCCCTCCTTGGGGGTTTCACTGTGGACCCGCCTTCTGACTCACAGCAGATGGGGGCATCACATGAGCAAACCCACAGCCAAGGGTGACGGGGACCCCAGGGACCAGGCAGATGGCAAATGGGAGGCGGGACAGGATTGGCACAAAGGGACTTCTCAGATGGGGTGGAGGCAGGGCCCTGGCTGGGCCTCAATAGCCCCAGCCTGCTTCCTCCAGAATGATCACTTGGCTAAGACTTTGGCACCTTCCTCTGTTCCATTCTCATGGGGTTCCTCAAGGAGCCCCGCAGATTCTGGGGTCAGGTCTGGGCTGCTGGAAAGTGGGGTAAGGATGAGGGGAGAGACTTGGGAGACACGTTTTCTGGCCACTGCACAGTGCCAGCCCACCTTACCACAAGGTGGACCAAGCCCCAAACTCCTTGGTGGGTTGGCCTGGGCTAGAGTATGTCCAGGCTTTCTCTGACCTTGAGCATGCAGGGCCCTGAGCTCAGGGCTTTGTCCTCATGCTTGCTCCTGTGAGACAGGTGCTGCTGATATGTCCACTTCACAGATGAGGACACTGAGGCTGAAAAGGCTCTCAGGGAGAAACTCCAGACTAGGGTCTGGTCCATGTGCTCTCCTGCCCCCTTCAGTGGGGAGGGTGCTCTTTGGGCAGGCCAGGCACTGTGCTGGGCATTGGGGGGCATATAACATTGTCTTGAGCCCCATCACTACCACTGCCCAGTCATGTACCTCTCAGGTAACAGAGCCCACTGGGAAAGCAAGGCTGGCTTGCCTGGGGAGAATCTATTGTTCTCCGGTTGTGTGACCTTGGCAGGTGCCTCAGTTTCCTCATCTATAAAAGCTCAAACTACACCCACTGCCATCAAGTTGATTCCGACTCATAGGGACCTGCATAAGGTTTCTGAAGTACTGGACTGCCCACCAAGAAGTCAGCCATTCAAACCAGCTCCTCCTCGGAAACCTGACACGGGGTCGCTATGAGTTGGAACTGACTTGATGACACTTAGTAATAACAACAAATCTTTATAGGAACAGAAAGCCTCACCTTTCTCCCAAGGAGCTGCTGGTGGGTTTGAACTGCTGACCTTGTGGTTAGCAGTCAAATGCTTATCCTACAGTGCCACCAGGGCTCCTTCTGGTTTGTAAGAAGTGGGTACCAACAGTGTCACCAGCTGCTCCTTGGAAATCCTAGACAGGGTCGCTATGAGTCAGAACCGACAAGGCGGCACTTAACAACAACAAAAGTGCCTTGGAGTCCTGGTGTGGCGCTCTAGCAGAAATACTGGAAGATTGGTTTGAACTGAAGTTTGGTGGTTCAACCTCACCAGCTGTTCCTTGGAAACCCTATACACAGTCACTATGAGTTGGAACCGACTCGATGGAATTTAACAGCAATATACCTTAAGTAGTCCTGGTGGAGCAGTGGTTAAATGCTCAGCTGCTAACTGAAAGGTCTGAGGTTGGAACCCACCAATTGTTCTATGGGAGAAAATGTGGCAGTCTGCGGTGTAGAGACTGCAGACTCGGAAACACCACACCCTACTGGGTAGCTGTGAATTGGAATCGACTTAACTGCAGGGGGTTTTGATTTTTTTAATCTTATCACTAAGAAGCTCTGGTGGCACAGAGGTTAAGTGCTTGGCTGCTAACTGAAAGACTGTGACTGTAGGGTCACCATAAATCAGAATCGACTTGATGGGCATGGTCTTGGTTTTGGTTTTGGGAACAGAACCTACTTCAGGGAATTCGTATGAGGATTAAGGGAGTTCATCTAGCAAACCTTCTACAATAGTATTGGGCCCATGTCAATGTACAAACCAACAAACAAAAACCAATGCCATTGAATTGGCTCTGATGTATGGTGACCCCATGTGTAGCAGAGTAGAACTAAGCGCCATAGGAGTTTCTGTGGCTGAGTTTTGGAAGCCGATCACCAGACTTCTCTTCTGAGGCACCTCTAGGTGGACTTCAAGCTAGTCTTTCAGTTAGCGTCAGAGCACATTAACCTTTTCATCACCGAGAGATTCCAAGTAAATGTTAGACTTTGTTATTATCTCTCCCATTGGACAGATGGACACACTGAGGCCCATAAAGGCACAGTCCCTTTTGCAATAATTTGGAAGTCCTTCTTGCCCCCTGGGACACTGGTGGGCCCCAGCCCCAGCCCTTTCCTGGTGTGATTGTGCTTTGGAGGGAAGGTGTGGTAGGTGCTGGGCTCCAGGGTTGGCATTTGCTCTGGCGGTTTGTGGTGTACTTGGCAGTTTCAGGAAATGTTGGGCAGAGAAACAAGCTCAGCCTTGGCAGAGCTGGCAGAGCATCCTGGCACAGTGGACAGGCGTCTCTGTGTAAGTGGGAGATAGCCAGGTTCCTGTCCCCTGAAAGGCTCTCCGGCTCCAGCTTGGCTCCCCAGCTCAGGGCCACTGAAGTGAACTCCAAATCGAGCAACAGTGAAATCGTCAAGC